TACAATAGGTGCTTTTACATCATTGACATATAGCTTCCTAATCTTGGATGGTCTTGATGGACTTTCGATGGTTTCTTTTAAAACAACTGCCAAATCTACTTGTCCTTGTTTTCGAGCTGAAATTGATGCTGCTTGAACTAACAGATTTGTTTCGTTGTGTTCTGACATCGAGAGGTTTGCTGCTTGTCTCCTCTTACTTCGTTCAGATTTCTCAGAGTACTTAAGTTGCGGGCGTCCAGTTAGTGATACAATTTTTTCATCTGGGCTTAGTTCTACTATGCATTGAGTCTCTGTGGAAGCGATTTCTAAATTTATTTGGCTGTTTATTACAGTTTCTGAACAAAGCCAGCCAGAATATTTAATTTGAAAATCATCTAATCTTCTATGACACTTTTCCCACTTTGCAGACAAATTATTGTTAAGCATGCGTGCTTTTTCTGTTAAATATTTATAGCATTCATCTGAAATTTTATCGGCTACACATTTTTGTATAAAATAATTTATTAGTGCGTCCTTATTTTTTCCTTTCTTCTGCTGGGTCAACCAAATATCAAAAACTGCTGAATTCTGTAAACAAATGACGCCTGAAAAAAAAATTTACTCAAAAACCGCAAAAAACCGCAAATCGAGATAAACATTTTCAAAAACTATACACTTCAAAGTAATTTTGGTTTTTAATCTTATGCTTAACACTCCTAAACAAAATGTGTTAAGCTTACTCAAACTTAAAAAATAAAATAAATTCCAAAATGTTAAAGACTTTTGGAAAAAGTTATTTTATTTTTTAGAGTATCCAAATTTTGAGTATTATATTTTACAAAATTAATAAACTTACCATCACCTTCGTTTTCCATTTAAACTTTTATTTAACACGCTTTGTTTTCAGCTTTAACAAGCAATTGAAGTAAGCCCTATAAAACACCGAACGCAATTCTGTTTACAAATGAAGCAAACAAATTCAACTTCGATGACTCACCAAATATCGGTGAATTGCATATTACAACAACAAAATTAATTTTTGGTTGTTTTGGAGTGTTGACTACTAGATTTAAAAAACAAAAACATATTTCGTGAGTGTAAAAATTTTGACTTTTGTCCAAGAAAAGTGATGTTTCCGACCACTGTGCACTGGATTACAGAGGGACTTGAAAGAGTGTCCCAAAGAAATTTAAAAACTAAGTATAGAAATTCAACCCATGAATTTATATTTAAATGAAACTCTTTAATTTAACAACTTCTTCAATCAACGACTACTTTATATTGTAATAAAAATGCTTTAAGGTGCTTAATGGGGGGAGAGTCAATAATTTTTAGAAAATTTCTCTACCCACACCAAGCTTGTTAAAACCCAACCCCAACCCCGTTTTGTTCATTTTCACTTGTTATAAACAAAAAACTATATCTCAAAACAAAAATTTAGTGAAAATTGGCCTTAAAACTAAACAAATATATATTGGAACCGATAAATAATAAAACTTTCATTGTAAATCCTCACCCTTTTTTTTATTATTTCCTCCTCCCATTTTATACATCCGGACTAAAATTCCCACCCCCACCTACCTTTGCATTAAGCACATTAGAGTAGTCAGTAACAAAATCCCCCCCCCCATCCCGCACAATTTTCAAAATGAGCCCCACATCGCCCATGCAACCTAAAATTAGCTTAAAAATAGGACACTTTTTGTCTGCTAGACTAAAATCCCGGACTAAAATCCCCCCCCCCCCAGTTTTGCCACTGAGAGTAGTACTGACATTTGTATCACTCCAGCTTTTGTATCTAAAGTGATTTTTTGCTTAGACTCTAATACAGCTTTTAGTTCAGACAACATACCTGTTGTAGTCTTACAGAAGTGTTCTCTGGAGCTATTGTCTATACTTTCAAACTATTTAACAAGTACTTAGTGGACCCTTGTTTTCTGGCATGCTGGAAAGCAGCATCTGTTATCCCTATTTTCAAAATTTCTGGAGAGCAATCTGACTCGTCTAATTACCATGGCATAAATAAATGTATTTAATTAATACAAATATATAATGTTGAAACTTTCAATAAAGTTTTTTTATACAAAAAGAATTCGTTTTATTTAACTATCATTTTTCTGTCAGGATGAAAAATACATTAGGTTATGTAGTTATAAAGATTATTTGCTTTATACTAAAGCTAATTACTCAGATCCACATAGCCTTCTTCCTATCATAAGCAAGATTTTTGAATCGTTATTTAACAATCACTTAATCTCTCATGAATCTAATAACTTACTTTTTGATCATCAATATGGATTTCAATCTTCTAGTTTTTCAGCCGATTTGCTAGCATTAATATCTGATAGGTTTTATCATGCATTAGATAGAGGGGGAGAGGTTAAGGCTATTGCTGATGACATTTCTAAAGCCTTTGATTAAGTTTGGTATGTTGGTCTTCTCCATAAGCTTTTTTATTACGGTTTATCAGTTAACATCTTTAAGATTATTGAATCCTTCTTTTCCAATCATAGTATAAAAGTATGATTGGACAGCACTCTTCTTCATATCCTGTAGCTTCAGGGGTTCCTCAAACTTTGAACCTATACTCTTTTTAATTTACTCTATTCTTCATAAGAAGCTAACACTCTTAGATTGCTTGTAGGGGGCATTTGAGCTTGAAAAAAATCTCACGTCTGCTACAGCATGGGGCTCACAGTGGCTGGAAAACTTTAATTCAGATAAAAAAAATTTTAGCCAATTATTACCACGATAATTAAATTTTCCTATATTTATGAATGGTGATGTACTTGACAAGTCATCTACCCTTTATCTTCTAGGATTAACTCTTATTCCTGATCTTTCTTTGAAACCGTATATCAAACCCATTGCAAAATTAGCATCTACTAAGGTTGGATCTCTTTATTGTACTCCACACTTTCTTACTCCAGATTGTATTATTTATCTCTACAAAACTCAAAACTGTCCTTGCATTGAATACTGTTGCTATATCTGAGGCAGATGATGCCCTTTCTCTTTTAGACAAGGTGCAAAAACGTATTGTAAACATAGTTGGACCTGCTCTTGCAGCCAACCTCCAACCATTATCAAATCTTGGTAATGTTGCTTCTTTTTCTCTTTTCTACAAATACTATAACGAGCAATGTTCTAAGCATCTCTTGTGCCATCTTCTAAAATTTATTCTCGTGTTACTTGTCATTCAAATAAGTCTCATTCTTTTTCTGTGACTATTCTAAAGTACTCATAAAACTCTTATTTGTCTAGTTTTTTTCCTCGAACATCAGTTCTTTGGAACTTGCTTTCCTGATTCATGTAATTTGCAATCTTTTAAGTCCTCTGTCAATCTTTTCTCTTCCAGTAACTTTCAACACTAGTTAGTGGTTGCTTGCAGCCTTGTTGGAATCAAAGATATTAAAAAAAAAAAAAAACTCTAAACGGTCCCAAAGATATGGCTATTCAAACTTTGCCTTGAACCAACTTGACATGAATCCGCCATTTTAAAAATAGATTTTGGTCTTTAATTCTGTTCTATGTGCAACGGAAAGCTGAAAAATGTGTACACTTACATATTTTGAGGCAAGGAACCCAATAAAACAACCTAAAATACTTAAAAATAAACATAACACCTGCAATTTTAACCTTTATCACAATTTTACTGGGGCAAGTTTAATTACAAAATGCCAATGAAGCTTGATTTTTTTTTTTTTTTTAGTGCCATTATAGTATAGTTAGAGTTGTTAGAAAAAATCAGAGAGTGGTCTTTTCTTAAATAGAAAAAAAGAACATGGTCAAATTTACTTAAATTTGTAATATATAAAACAGGAAATATGAAAAATTAAAGGAAAAAAATGTGGTACTCTTAAGTGCTGATATTTAATAATTTTTGAAAATTTTTCTTACCCACCTTGAGCTTATTAAGACCCCTCCACCTGTTTAATAAATTTTACTTGTTATAAATAAAGAAACTCAAGTCAGTTGAAATGGGTGGTCAACAATTGGTTAAGACAATTATTGGTAAAAAACAACGTCATTATATATTTGACACTTTATAGAATGTCAGAGGCCAACCTAATTGTTGCGATTAGCTTTTTTCCAGTATTTTTTTTGAGGCAAAGGACTTTATTCTTATAGTGCCTTTTCTTTTTAAATCTTTTCTTTTTAAATCTTTTTAATCTAATTTTTAATCTAATCTTTTTTTGTTTTTTGCTTTTTTTGTTTTTTGCTTTAAATGTAATTTTTAATCTAATCTTTTAAAATCTTTTTAAATCTAAATCTTTAAATCTTTTTAAATCTTTTTTTTTTAAAGAATAAAGTGCTATGTCTTATATAAAAATGTGTACTTCACAAAATTCATTTATTTCAATAGAAAAATATAGAATTATATAAAAAAGTGATCTTAATGCCCTCCTGTGTCCTACCCTTTTATATAATTATATATTTTTATTAACTACTTAGTGTGTCCATAAATTATGGAAAAATATAAATTAAAAATTAAAATTGGTTATATACTCTGTGTACCAAGATACAGGATTTTTTTTCAATGATGTGCATTTGATGGCTAAACATAGATGTTATATGCAATAATAAAACTCAAAAATGTGTTATATGCGATCTTATTAATCTCAAAGATAATAAGTATCTTTGAGATTATTATGATGGCATATAACACATTTTTGAGTTTTATTATTACAAAATATTTTTAGGAATTGTGATACAAATAAACAAACAATATAGTAACAAATAAACAAAATCTAAATAAGAAAAAACTGTATATAAAACATAGCTCATAGTTTAACTGATTGTATCTTTTAGTTTAATTATTTTTAAGCAAGAAAGAATCTAATTGCGCCTACACTTGAGAATAACTGTTTTACACATTGTCAGTTTATTCATTGTTTCATTGTTTCATACAAAATTTATTTTATATAAAATAACTATTAAATCAAAAATAATTATTTATATACAAAAATATAAAATTCTTTATGTCATAAAAATTAATAAGTAATAACAATAAAACAGACCTAACACCAAAATAGGATTTAAGATAATTAATATTAGTGCCATTTTTTCCTATAATGCTTCCAACAATATGTGATGGAACCTTTACTACTTTTTTTGTCTGAAAATCACTAACGTTATTGTCCTGAGAATTCAAATCAGTAAATTTTACAACTTCATCGTTTTCATCATGGTTGTACTTTCTTGTATTTTTTTTTTTACGATATAAAAAGTATATGCTAGCAAGAACAACAGCTGATGATATACATGCAATCAAAATGTATTTTTCTTGATGGCTATTCATTTTCAAAACTGTTTTTCACGTTTCTCCCGCGTGAGTATGAAGTCTTAAAGCCAAATAATAACTCGCAAATATAATTAGTGACTAATTTTCGGCATATCTTGTTATTTTAAGGTTGTTAAAAATAATTCAGGTCAGATATAAATACTAGGCATAATTATAGATAAAATAAAAAAAATTTCGATTGGCTAAACTATTTTCGAAAAATAAAAAGTATTTCAAAAAGTTAGAAAAATTCTCTGCGCGTTTAATAAACCCTCACGTATACAAAAAAAATTTTAATTATTAAAAATAATCCTGTAAACAACTTTTATACATAGTGAAAAGTGCATGCATCGATTTACTTTAATCGTAAACATCGGCGTGTCCTTTATTCGCAGGTCGTGTACAACAGTGGTATATTCAGTGGCATATTCATGGGAAGTAGGTTCCTACCCCCCCCCCCCTCGTTATACTTTAGATAATACTTAGTAATAGTTAGGTTATACTTGGGTAACTAAAGGCTTTCTATATCTAAGAAAGTCTTAATTCCAATCCATTTTTATAATTAAAGTTTTGTTCGGTGATTTTTTTGCGCTTTTAACTCTCTAAAATGTCAAAAAAAAAAAAAAAAAAAAAAAAAAGAAAGAAAAGGAAAGGTCAATAACAGCACTACTAACAGTATTAAGTAGCGTATTATTAAATAGAGATCGCTATAGCAATTTATAATGTAAATTAGATCAAATTTTGCATGTCATGCCTGTGCAAGACAGGCAAGACCCGTAAACACGCCTATGATCGTAAAAATAATTTTAAACCTACAACAGCTGGTACAGCACAAAAATTATGAGCTATTTATATATATAGGGGAAAGCGGGGCAACATGGCGAATGGGGCAAGATGGGTTTTCATATAACAACTCAACAAAAAATTTTAAAATTGGTTGAAAACGAAACTGTATTTGCATCTTGTAGTTTAAAACACCAATTCGTTTTTTGAAATATTATTAACGCCATTCTATACAAATAAGTTTACTTTTTGCGCTTAAAATAAAATTCCTCACTTTCGGTTTCTCATAATGGTTGGTGTCCTTCAAGTTTAACTTCTTTAGAAGTAGTTTTTGCAATTTGTGTTTATTTTTTGTTACTTTAATTAGAGTTATTGGCAGTTTTTAAAATTTTATAAAATTGGAGGTAAAAATTGCATAATAAGTCATCTTGCCCCGGTCACGTGACCAGATGACAAATTTATTAACTTTTTATTTTAATATTTATTTTAAATTGTTATATTTGCAAACTGAAAATTCATGCAGGCAATGAAAGAACTTAATAGCATAAACATACTGAGAAAGTATTATGGCTTCACGACTTATAGTTTTTCAATAACTCAGGGCTTTCAAAACGTTCGCCATGTTGCCCCGCTTTCCCCTACATTTTTTTAATTTAACTCTATTTAACATCGTTAGGTTTTATAAATATATTATATTAACTAAATCACAGTAAAATACTGAGTTATATAAACTGATGATGGTGACCATCATCAGTTTATATAACTCAGTATGTGACCAAGGTCACCATCTTTTTTTTTTTTTTCAATCTTTTTTTCTTTAATTGATGACATGTTTGCATAGACATTTAATTCCTTTACACATCCCAAGTTTTTTTATAGGCATTTCTTCTTCAACCAACATATAATGTTAGTTGAGGAAGAAATGCCTATTGGGATTAAGCTCCAAATTAATGGTCCTAGATAGCGAAGTGAACGTTTTCCGTACAATTCCATTTTATTTCGAGGGGTCCTAAAGTAAGCATTGCTTCATGTATTGGACGTTTTCTTGTTAACGAATACAATGTCACTATGTGGGCTTCCGTTAGGATTGTTTTTAATTTTGAACATTTCTATAGCTAAAAATTGCAAATTTCTTTGATGCACTGAGATATATATATATATATATATATATATATATATATATATATATATATATATATATATATATATATATATATATATATATATATATATATATATATATATATATATATATATATATATATATATATATATATATATATATATATATATATATATATATATATATATATAATAAAGTCGACAGCGATTATTTTTTACACCTTAAGTCGACATAAAAAATTTTCTTTTTTAATTCATTTTTCACTAACAGATGTTGCGTAGTTTTGTATATTATGTGTATGTATATTTGTAAGTATTTGTATAGAAAAAAAATTTAAGTGATCAATTAAGCGCCTTTTTAAAAAGAAATAAAAAATTTGTCGACTTAGCGATTCTAACGCATCCACATATATTTCACTTGACGTCGTAGAAATAGTATAAAATAAATTTTAAACGCATATTTTAAAGTTTACTTGTCAATTTTACATATATTTATATTAAAAAAATTTATAAAAACATAGAAATATTAAAATATAAGTCTATATATTTATTATTGTTGACTTGACGCAAGATTTACGAGTAGAATAAGTCTACTTATAGTTGAAAAATAACATATTATAAATGTCTAAATGTTAATTTTTTTTTAAACTGGTCGTATATTATTTTAAATAAATAGTTTATCTATATTTTAAACAAAAATTATAATAAATATATCTTTATAGTTCAAACAAAAAATGCAATCTCTTAACTATCGACCTATAGATCGTATATGTAACACGAGTAAATATACGCACTTTTAAAAAAAGTTATTGTTTATAGTTTTCCACGTTGTTTTTTTTTGTTAAAGTTTTTCATAGAAATCTCTTGAGCATAGTTTAAACATTACAATGGTATCTTTTTTTTTTAATTTCCATTGAACTAATCATTTCTAAAATTCATTCAAACTAAAGTCGACAGGAAATCTGTCGACTTATGAAAAGTGTCGACTGGCTGACCTAGTCTTATATATATATATATATATATATATATATATATATATATATATATATATATATATATATATATATATATATATATATATATATATATATATATATATATATATATATATATATATATATATATATATATATATATATATATATATATATATATATATATAATATATATATATATATATATATATATATATATATATATATATATATATATATATATATATATATATATATATATATATATATATATATATATATATATATATATATATATATACATATATATATATATATATATATATATATATATATATATATATATATATATATATATACTCATATAGTGTCGCTTTAAGAGCATTTTAATGTAAAAAAAGTCTCTTACGACTACAATTTTAATTACCTCGTCTCTTAAGCTGTTTTTGATTGTCATCGAAATGTCAAAGCAATTAATTTATGCGGAAGTACATTAAATTTAATTGTTTTTTAAAAAATTTTTAAAAAACCGCAATTATAACGACTAGAAAGTTTTTTTTAATTAGTGGTGTTTTTGTTATTGATTTAATAAAAAACATTTTTTAAACATGCGTAAATGTTGCTACATCGACTATCTTATAGCCTGACTCGCAACAGAGTGCTGCTACATCGACTGACAAATAGCCTGACTCGCAACGGAGTGCTGCTACATCGACTGACAAATAGCCTGACTCGCAACGGAGTGCTGCTACATCGACTGACAAATAGCCTGACTCGCAAGGGAATGCTGCTACATCGACTGACAAATAGCCTGACTCGCAAGGGAGTGCTGCTACAACGACTGACAAATAGCCTGACTCGCAAGAGAGTGCTGCTACTTCGACTGAGGGTTTGGTTTGGCCAGGCAGTCTATCAATTAAAAAAAAAATTTTTTTTTTTAAAACTTTATCTGGTCTGGTTTATTAACGCGCTCTTTAAAACTACAGTTTATAGGAAATATTTTTTGATGCTACGCAAGAGACATGCAAGACTATATATATATATATATATATATATATATATATATATATATATATATATATATATATATATATATATATATATATATATATATATATATATATATATATATATATATATATATATATATATATATATATATATATATATATATATATATGCAACCCTCGGAATCAGAAAAAATGAGGTCGGCAATAATTTGCCGACTTCATTTTTGAACCTTTTGAGGATGAGGTCGGCAAATTATTGGTTAGCACCATGATACATAGGGCATGATGAAACATTGTAATTATGAAGGCATCTTAAAAATTGTGACTTTCATATAGTGAAACAGTTATTACTAGAGATTTTGAAAAAAAAATTGACATCATTTGACATCAATAAACCTGCGTGGGATCGAAACTTGTGTTTTTTTGATGACAAAGTAATTCATAAGCTTTTAAAGCTCATAAGTTTTAAAGTGTCTTATTTAATGTGTCTATCAATAAGTGAGATTACTTTGTGAACTACAACCCTTAAGCTTTTTACTTCATTAAACTAACAGTCATTAAAAAAACAAGTTGATATTAAAAATAAAGCGATTGTTTTCTAGCAAGTATAGGGTTAACTTGATACAGCATTTGTTGGGGCCCTAAAACTGTAGAATAGTACTCCATTGTGTCATAAACAATTCTAAAAATCATTTCTTTTATTATTCATAGTTGATTCCAAAAAAATTTATGTAAATATAATACAAAGAGTTCCCATTTCGATACACTTCACTCTATCACCTTTCTCTTTGTTCTTTATCGTTCTTCTTCTTCCGATGATTGCACTCTTTTAGATGTTATCTCTGATCAAATTGACCATGCCCTCTCTCTTTACCCCTCTGCCAATATTGTTGTTGTTGGTGATTTTAATGCCCATCACACTGAGTGGCTTGGCTCTAACACTACTGATCCTGCTGGCACTAAAGCCTTTAACTTCTGCGTTTCTCAATCTCTAACTCAGATAGTTAACTTTGTGACTCGTTTTCTTGACAACCCAAATCATTTACCTTCACTCCTTGACTTATGTCTTGTCTCTGATCCTAGCTTATGTTCAGTTTCTCCCTTTTCTCCCTTAGGTGGTTCTGACCATGCAATGATCTCTATAAATCTTTCTTCTCGTACTTCTTTTTTGGGCTCACCTTATCATCGCACCACCTACTACTACCCTAAAGCTGACTGGGATTCCTTTCGTGATTTTCTTCG